ATTTTCAAGTTTTATTCAACACTTATTTTAATCAGACTAATACATGAATTTAATAAAATAGCTTAGTATTGTTAATATGACAGATTTTATGTTCCGATGTTAAATTATTGTACTGAATATATTTAAATAATGACATTTATGCTAGGTTTTACATATTTCAGCATTCTGGCTTCTACTAATGCAGAAACAGGGTCAAATAGTACAACTTATTATGTTGCAATATAACACTTTGATTTACTAGTGTGTATGGTGTGTGTACATGGTGTGCTTGCATGTGTGCGTGTGTGGTGTGTGTTTGTGTGTTCTAATGGGTGTGTGCAAGCGTGCTTGAGGGAGCACATGTACATGAATGTGCATAGAGACCTGAAGTCCATCTTGGGTGTCCCCCTTAATTGCTCTCCCCCTTATTAGTTTTTGCAGAAACTCCAGTCCACCCCCAAGGATCCCAAAGAAAAACCAAATAAAAAACATGTCTGTCGATCTCACAATGATTGTTCTAAATGTAAACTAGGACAATAACAACAGAAGTATTAGCTGACAATGAGAGACACCGGAATGGTCTGTGGAGGGCAGAAGGCCTGAGAACGGTAACGCGGGAACTTTCTAGAAGTATTCTATATCCTGCATACTTAGGATCTTCCATCTCACTACAGACGCCCCAATACAAGAACTGAGGGTTAGAGGTAGTTGGAATCAGTCCCCAGAGAAACACAGGCTCATTTTCATTTGACAAGAAGATGCCCCATGACTCCCATTCTGTTTCATCTACCAAGACAAGCACATGCTTACAGAGCACTTCCTATTTGGACTTGTAATTCTAACTTAAGTGACACAATCCAGGGGCACTACTTCAGTGGTTGTTTGTTCCATTTCCGGTCCCAATTCACCTTTGCCAGAGACCAAAGGATATACCCGCCCTTGTGGAGTCCACTAATACTTTCTACCATAATTGGTGAGGCAGTGGTATGAAACTGTAAAGATCATTTCCAGAAACACAATTTCATAAAAATAGCCGAGTCTGGCCTGGGGGGTGTAGCCGTTTGCTAGAGTCTTCGTCTAGTATACCTAAAGCCCTGGGCTTGCCTCCCAGTACCACATCAGTCAGGCACAGGGATGGAGGCCTGTAATCCCAGCACCAAGGAGGCAAAGACAGGAAGATAGGGACACTCACTCTCCAGCATGAATTTGAAACAAGAATTTAAAGATTTAGTTTTATTACTTTTTAATCATGTGTATGTGCGGGGGGTGTGCACATGAGTGCAGGTGCCCTCGGGGACCAGAGTTACTAGATCCCCTGGAGCTGGAGTTACAGGCTACTGGGAGTTGCCTGATATGGGTGCTGGGAACCATTTCATCACCTGGTGATTGTCTTAAGTAGAAACTGCTCCTTCAGTCCGAGAGTCTAAGCGCAAATTTACACGGCTACCGTGGTCACACTGCTAGAACAATTAGTTACTCCCTAGTGCCCCACAAAAATAAGTTTCTGGCAGTTTAGATGCAAAAATGTAATGAGATGTTCACAGAATATGTAGTGGAGGAGGCCTGCTCAGGAAATACTGGTGCTAATCCAATACTTGGTTTTGAAAACAAAGCATTTTTTTTAGAATACTGATTTGGCAGGAAATACCATTAAGTATAAAGAAACTCTGCTTCTACTCCTAGGAATAAAAGTATTGTTTCAACTTAATACAGATTTCAAATCCCCAATGTTACTAATGTTGGCACTTTTATTAATTAATTAAGACTGGCATATAAAATTTCTTGCTGGAAGAATTTTGTTAAATGTAAATGCATGAGTAATGAGTAACCTGAAAATTACACACACACACACACAGACACACACACAGAGACACATACACACAGAGATATACACACACACACACACACACACATGTGTGCGTGTGTGTGTATATATATGTACATATATATGTATGTGTATATGTATATATGTATGTGTATATATATGTATATATATATAATTTCTGAGCCTAAAGGAAAATGGCTTTCTGTGTGAGCATGAGGACCTGAGTTCGGATCTCCAGCATCCATGTAAACAGCCAGGAATGGCAGCACGCACCTGTAGCTCCAGGGTTATCTGCTGGGGCTAGGCTGAAAAAGACCCATCTCACGGGCTGGGGGGTCATCTTTAAAATGCCCTCACATTTTCTCAGCTGTGCCCGTCCCATGAAAGAGGGAGAGAGTTTTCCTTCACGTCAAAGATGTGCTGAAGGGCGACAGTCAACCCAGGCTAACACGGCACCCCGGTCTAACTGAAGCCCTGCCTCTGAATCGGTCACCAAGGGTCTGGGTTGACCAGCTGGCAGAGGAAGCGGGTGACAAAGGGTGAGTCTGGCCCGTTAGGATCCAGGGAAGCCACAGGAGGGCAGCAGAATCAGGCTGTCTCCAGTTAGCGTACCTTTAAAAGTGGTTTTTATAGAAGTCTGTCACAGGACCCAGGCTTCAAGCGCGGGGAGTCAGGTGGAGTATTCCTTAACTGCTTGTGTACTTTAACCCAATAGTGCTTCTATTTGCCTTAAAGGTTCCAAGAATTAAGTGGGAAAGGAGGGTCTGGCAAGAGGATTTTCTGAGTAGAACAAGGTAATGGCTTCCCCACCCCCCTTTCTTTCCCCTCGCCTTCTGTCTGCTGGATGGGTGGAAACCCAAGGCTAGGAGCTGAAACAACAGGATCGAGGTGTGACTTACGTTGAAGGGCAAGAAGGCAGCTGGAGATGTTCTAATATTGACAGTTAGAACCGGGGATGAGGTGAGCTACCGAGGAATTTTAACATTGATGGGGCTACATAGTTCCTCGCTACAGTTATACTCGGGGGAGAGCCTGCATAGACCATAGTGGAACATATCCCGTAAGGGGGTTTCATCTGTGAATCGCAAAATACCCAGTAGTCAGGTTCTTGTTTTGGTTTTTTAATTGTGAGACTCAGTCAGAGCTGACGCGGAGCATCCTAGTGAATGTAGCAACAGGTATGGTGGGGGCTGGGGGCCAACTTTCTGAGTGAGACAAAGATAAGATGTCATTGAGACTTCTGAGTAGCCCTGGACGGTTAGAGGAAACGTCATCATGTCTTACACCAGTAAACCAAAAGGCTGAGATCACATCTTTGTAAGATGAAATTATCTAAGGAAACCCATTTAAAAGATAATACTGCATAAAATAATCTCTTAAAAATCAGATAATGAAGAATGGATGTTACTAAATAGGTCACTAAGGCAATTAAAGTTAAGATAAAATAATTAGAAAGTCAACACCAGCAAATGGATACACAAAGGAAACTGATGTGTTTATGTACCAGGTAAAAATGCATAAAAATAACTAAATTAAAATATCAGAATAAAAATGAGCAAATGTAGTGATCTGACAAATTCATTAAAGGTGCAGACTTGACAACAGGGTAAAATATTAGTAAAAGCTCCTCTAGCAACCTTGGGTTTACAGGACTGCATTTATAGACTTTGGGGTTGCTGGAGTCCCAGAAGGCAAACATCTTCTCAGATGTAAGTTTGAGATTTAAGGAAGGTTGTCCCTATGGCCTGCTAAAGGTGGCTTTCTCTAGACCAGTGTTTCTCAACCTTCCTAATGCCTTGACCCTTTACTACAGTTCCTCATGTTGTGGTGAGCCCCCAACCATAAAATTATTTTCGTTGCTACTTTATAACTGTAATCTTGTTACTGTTATGGTTTGTAATGTAGATATCTGTTTTTTTCTGATGGTCTTAGACGGCCTCTGTGAAAGGGTGGTACGATTCTCAGAGGGATTGCAACCACAGCTTGAGAACTCCTGCTCTAGACATATGTATATAGATATAGATATGTCCACATATATGTCTATATATATACATATATATATATATATATATATATATATATATATATATCCATTTTGAAGAAAGAAAAATACTAATTGCCTTCACTCAGCTGTTCTTCAGTCCTGACCTCAGTGGAAATTCAGGCTCCACTTAATAAAGGCATTATTTCCAGAAGAGAATGCGTAATGACTAAAGTATGCGCAAATCACACCCATATCTGAGAATCAGGACCACCATCCAGTTTGCAAGCGTAGCGTCGAAATATCAAGATTGACAGCACAAGCAGAATTACTGGCTGATGATAGGTAGGTCATCACCTCCCAGCATTCCTCCAGAGTCCAACAGCACCCTAGGAAGCCATTGAGATTTAAAAGCTTTGAATTGTTACCAACTTCAATTTGTTCAGTTTCAGACTTATCAGGCACAGTGAAATCTGCCATTCTACTCCATGAAAGCTGAAGGCTGAATGTGCCCTTCTCTCTCAGGGCCAGGCGTACCCTCTCTCTGAGTCCTCGGCGCCAGGGTACCCCTCTCTCTGAATCCTCAGGGCCAAGTGTACCCTCTGCTCTGGTTGATCCTTGGCAGGTAAACTGCAGCTGTTCCTCATGGTGGGGATCTTCTAAACATCCATCCTTGAAACTTGCACCCTTTAAATAAATATGAAATGAAAGCAACATTTTGTTACATGAGATTTTGATTTTAAAAACTGGCAGATACAAGTGAATAGGAGCAAATACATACACCAACATGTTAGCTTACGCAGACAGGTACCTTTAATGGTGGTTTCTTGTTTGTTTGTTTTTTGTTTGTTGTTGTTGTGTATGTGTGTGTAGTTGTATGGTCTTATTCATCCAATACCCAATAGATATGTATTATATAACAACCAGATGTATGGAATATTACTAGTACTTGAGATAATACAATGAAAATATTCTCTCATAGAATTTACTGTCTAGAATTTTTTGATAAAAGTGAAATCACCCCATACCTACATTGTAAACCTTCTTTTAACCAACTTTAAATATATTATATTATATTATATTATATTATATTATATTATATTATATTATATTATTACATTATATGATATGACTGGCAAGATGGCTGTACATGTGCATACTGCCAAGCCTGATGACCTGAGTTCAAGCCCCAGATCCTACATGTTCAAAGGAGAGGACAAACTCCTACAGGTTATCCTCTGACCTCCACACAAATATCATGGCATGCATATACCCTATGCACAGCACCAATCAGTCAATAAAATGGAATTTAAAGTTTAAAAATATAGATTGCATGCATTTTCATGGTAAATATAGATCATTGCAGTGATTTTTTTAACTACTATTTAGTCATTTAGTATTTGAATGCTCCAAATTTTTTTATAAAAGTCCATAATTATACAAATTAGTTTCTGTTGTTGTTGGGCAATATGGTATGAACTCATTTGAGACACTTTATGCATAGACTCACAATAAATCAGCATACTTAATCAATTATATGCAAAAATGCAAACTTCACACCCCAGGGTCTTGGATCCTTGATCGTAGACCCATTTCCAAGTCCACATGTGGATATTCCTTATTGTCCCCTTTACATTTCTTTACACGAATATTCCATCTTTGAAAGCAGTTCATTATCATGAAGAGCGAAGCACTAAATATTCCTGTGTGGGAACCTGGCCACAGCTGTATGAATATTCATTCCTTCATTTAATCAGACAGTAATTGAAATGCATGCTTGGTGTAAACTGTAAGGAGAGTCCATTAAACACAGGGTGCATGCTGCAGCAGGGTGCAAGCTGCATCTCACCACTCTTTTTCCTCACAGTCCAGCTGCATGGAGACAACACAGTATCCTCTGCACATTTGCCTCTCATCCTCTTTCCTTCAGAGACCCCAAATGCACTACCCGGTGTCTTTAATCACACAGCGTCCACACTCTCCCCTTTGGTGTTTCAGCATATCCGTTCTTCCCACCAGCTTTGCCTGCTCCTATCACACAGACTAAACAAATGGACAGCACTCTAGCACTGAGGCCTTTGCACTTGCTACACTCACTGCTTAGAAAATGTATCCCCAGGTTCCCACCGCCGTCCGGTAACCCTTTAGATCTTCGCTGATCTGCCATCGTACAGGCAGTGTTTCCTAACACATTGAAAACAGCAGGCCACAAACCCACACAGGACGCGCCGGGTTCCTGGTTCCTAAGGACAGTTTTTAGCTTTTTACATGAATGTGTCTTTTTACTTTTATTTACATGTATGTGTGTGTATGTCTGTGTGTGTGTGTGAGTGTGTATGTGTGTCCTCTGGAGTTTCAGATGATTGTGAGCTGCCACACACAGCAGGTAGAAAGCAAACTTCTGTCCTTGACAAGAGAAGCAAGCTCTCAACCGCTGGGCCCTCTCTCCAGGCCCTCAAAGGCTCTCTGGCATGTGGTACTCCATCTACCTACCTACTGATTTGTTTATTATTTGATCCTGCTACTAGACTGTAAACTCTATGAGAGCTTTATTGGCCCTGTCTACTATTTATACCCTCAATCATGGAATGGTTATTAAAAAAAAATCACAAGCAGATTTTCAGTGGATCCTTAATAAGTGTGTGAAGAGCAGAGAGGGCACACATCCATCAGGTTGATTATACATTGATTCTTGAGTTATGGTTTTGTGAAGGTCACATTAACTCCATGGTCTTAGACCAGTTTCTCAAAGTGACTTTGGGTTGTAGCAAGCACTCAGCACATCTTCCTTTCTGCTCCTTTTTGTTATCGTGAAGTGAAAAAAGCACTATCTTTTGACTTTTCTTCTCCTTAGCACACACAGCATCTACATGCTTCCATCTGGAACCAGCTGACTTGAGCTGCCCTGCGGTGTGGTCCAGCAATACCCTGTGGCTAATGCCAGGTCTAAAATTGCCGCACTCTGCTGGCATGAAGACACTAGGGCAGTTCTTTGCATGTGAGGACACTGTAACCTCCTTGTGCATAGCCTGACATAACCACAGGACTGGTCTAAGGCTAGATCATTCATGTTCATAAGAACCTGGAACCTGAGATAGCTCTATATCCCTGAGCATGTGAGAGCTGAATCCTTTTCAAAACAGTTGTCTAGTTCCTAGTTCTTAGCAGCCAAAGATTAATTAGCCAACCAAGAAGCTCATTTCCTTCCTTCACAGTTCAGAGAAAATGATCCAGCCACGTGTCTCACAAACTAATATCCAGGAACATCTCACCAAGACTCGGGCTCCAAACTTGCTCCTTATAATATTTTTAAATTCACTCATCAAACTTTGTTCTTTTCTAGTAAATGCTGAGGAGAAATAACTACAAAACTTGCCAATAAGAGTCTTCCTGCATGAAGAGGATTGTTATTAGTTATAAAAACTGTTTGTTGAGAAGTTATTGTTTTGGGCAGAACTTAAATAAAAAATAGGATAACAAAGAAGGTTATGAATAGATAAACAAAACTAAACTAAACAAAAAACCTTGGTTCACAAATCAAGTCATGCACTGGGGATACAGCTCATTTGGTGGAGCGCATTGTTGCATGCATGAGACCCTGCATTTGAGTTCCAGTGCAGACAAAAAGTTACAAACCAATAGAGACAAGCCCATGGTTTTGTAATATTTTTGTTTTACCCATGAGGATTTTAAATTTACAGAGGAACTTGTCAACGATTCAAATATTATGAAACTTTTTCATTTGCATACAAGCAGCTTTTCTTGGTGGTGTTGAGCACCCAAAGATGCTGGGTGGGGACGAAAAATGTGAAGAAGATGAAGTTGTCCTGTACCTTCTCCAGGTGAAGTTGTCCTGTACCTACTCCAGGTGATTGTACTCTTACAACAAATGAGAGGGTAATTGAATCAGCAGCAGAAAGCCTTAATCAGATTACAGAGGACCAGAGAAGCTGCCACAGGTGTGTTGGGTGCTGGTGTCTGGGAGGGGTGGTTCAGGGGTGTGGGAGGAGCAGTTCAGGGAGCAGAGAAATGTAGGTGAAATACAGAGAGTTGGTCTAAGACAATGAGGTTAGCTGGCCACAGGACGGGAGAAACATCACTCCCTGGAAAGGGAACTGGAAACTGGTAGAAGCAGGTTGATCTGAAGGAGCTTACAGCAAGAATAGGCAGTTTGAGAAGATTTGGTTGCTA